ATCTCTGGTGGTCTTTTGGGGGTCCCAAATTCGAGCATAACACCTGGTCTTTGTTTTTCAGATGGAAAAGCTGATGGCCGTGCTGGGCAGCCTCTGGCTTGTTCTCCTTCTGGGCATTCAGTGCCAGGCCCTGTGGTCTGTCTCCAGCGTCACCCAGCTAGAAGCCCCATGGCTGGGCAAACACCAGTCATGCAGAGCACGGTGTGCCCAGGGCCTCCATGTTTTCCTTTTAAGGGTCTCATTTGCTGAGTACTTACCTTGTGACAAGCACTGTGCCAGGTGTTTAGCACAAGGACTTCATTTACTCTCACAAGAACCAATTATAACAGAAACTGAGGCTCCTCCGTGTATGTGCTGTGTGACTTGCCAAAGGTGACACAGTAATTTGCTATTTAGCAAAGTTTGGGTTGAGGCTCAAGCCCATCTAACTTTAGCAGTGACTCATCATCATTGCCTGGAGGGCTTTCCTATGGACAGGGTACTGGTAACCAAGGCTAAGGAGGTACTGGGAGGATGCTGGGTCTGTGACCCATGAGAAATTATGGCAGCTCCCACCTGAACCAGACCTTGGCCTCTTTGGCCTCTGTGTCCCTGTGAAACAGGCAGGAAACACCATGGGGAGCTCACCAGCTCCCAAACACCCAATTCTTCCCAAAGGAGGGGCCACAGCATCTACTTTGGAACCTGAATTGCATCCTGAATGGTCTCCCCTCAGCCTCCCTCACAGCTCTTCCTCCCTTTTACCTCCTGCAACTCTTCCATTCAGGGATTTAGGATGCCTCAGAGCATTCTAGAAAAGCAAGCCAAGCCAGCTGGTCCAGGTGGTGAGAAAGAACACATCCAGATGCAGAAAATGCACAAACAAAGCCCTTTTTTTTTTTTTTAACTCAAGAAAGGGCTTTTATTATTTTTAACTCACTTCCTGGGAAGTTAATTTTTAAACACTCTTACGGAGTCTGTTCATCATTTGTGCTACATTTGAAAACAATGATGTCAACCCAAACCCTCAGTAACAGGTGAGCACTCCCTCCACACTCTCCTGGGGCAATGAAGGGCCCCCTTTGAGCTTTTTCACAGGTGGGTCCAACCCATGAAGCTTCCTGAAGCCCTGGCCCTCCAGGTGCCAGCACAGACCCCCCAAATTTTTTTGAAAACCTGTTGATCAGTGATTGACTTTCAACTTGCCTCCATTAACTCTATAAAAGTGTTCTTAAAGATAGTACAGGATTATTTTTTAAAGCCCCAGGTCACACTGACTGCCTTAATGCAGAGGAGCTAGGGAGAAATGTGGGCCCATTGACAACGGGCTGCATTCAGCTCCTAGCCTTAAATAGACATAGAAACTATATTACAGATGCATGTATTGGTGCAAGACGTGTATGCGCTGTGTGCAGCAGATGGGCACGCACATGCATGTGCGTGGAGGCACAACATACACCACAGGCACAGAGATGCAGCAGGGTGCAGGCCCTCCTTCTGCCCAGCCTCCCTCTCCTTCTCCAAATGAGCCCTTTTGCAATAGGAAACCCATACAGGTGGCTGAAACTCCTTGCGTAGCCCATGTTTTCAGGGGCAGAATCTGAGTCCTGCATTATTTCCCCTTAGGAGCCTATCTCTCTGAGCATTTGGTCAGTAAACATCAAGCTGGCCAGCCAGTATCAGATCCCAGAGAGAAGATGAAGCCTACTCCAGCACAGCATGTCCACAGCACACCCCAGTGACTGTCCTGGGAGTGAGGCAGTTGGCACAGGGGCTGCCTGCCACGGTGCACACCCCTATGGAGTCCCTCACCTAGCAAGGCCTCTAATTCAGGTGGTTTATCCTTCATGGTAGGAATGTTCTGGATGAGCCAGTGTAGGATCAGATTGAATTCCAGTTATTTCTGCATGTGCTAGTCCACGGCCCTTGGCCAATGACATTCCCGGTGTCTCTTCTGCAGCCTTGGCTCTGGGGAATCATGGTGGGGGGTGGGGGGTGGGGGATGAGGTGGGCAGACAAGCTGTGCTGCTCCTGATTCAGGCCTTTGCTCTGAGCTTGACTCAATTCAGTCCATTTTCCAGATGTGCTGAGTACAAAACAATCCAGGAAGGTCAGTCCAGGCTGCTTGACTGCCAAATAATGGTGGGTATGCTGGGACATACCCATGGATGTGGGAAAGCTCATTAGATGCTCCCCAGTGACTTCGCCACTCCCCTGGCCCCCAAGTTAAAATAAAAAATAAAAGGTAACAAAAAAAGAGAATCTTGAATTCTCCAATACCTGCCTCTCCCCAGTGGGGCCTAGGCATACATGAAGCGGTCAGAGCCTCCATGCCAGCATTGGGAGTAGACAGAAGCTCTAGCACCCCCACCCGAGGTGGTGGGGGCGCATCCCTCCATGTGATGTGGCAGCTGAGCCAGGCCTGCCCGGCCCCTAGTGGGAGGTCCCTGAGCTGCAGTAAGCCAGGCCTCCACCTGCCATCTTGGTCTTCTGCCCCGTGCCCTGGGCCTTGCCAACCAGCCAGGTAGGGTTTCTGAGGTTCCATGGACCCCTGGCTTCCTCACAGGATGGGTTAGGCCAGGAAGAGCCAGGGTGAGAAGGAAGGCGCCATGGGACCCCTACTCCCCCAAACCCCAGATGATACACATTCCAATCCTGTCCCTGGACGTGCACGCGCGGAGGTCATGCAGCACGACGGGGGAGGGGGACCGGGAGAGGGGCCACAGTCCCCAGCCCCCTGCCCGCAGGGGCGGCTGTCGCATAAGGGCGGTGGGCCTCTGGAGGCGCGGGATGAGCGTGCTGCCTGGTGGCCCTGGGCACATGCAGGAACTCAGGATGCAGCCTCATCTTCTTGAACACCAGGGAGCTCCGGGCTTTTGCCCCCTTCACCACACCCTTCTTTCCTGTTTAGGGGACACCAGGGCCAGAAGGACCTCAGGAGTCAGAACATATACACAAGAACACTCTCACACACACGAGCATTTGTATCCCACAATCTCTCAATCCCCCTCACCCACTTCCCCAAACTCAGGCTCGGCTGGGATCTCCTTGTCCTGGCAATCACTCTCCTGGTCTCCTTACCCTCAGCACACAACCCTATGTGGCTCCCACTGTCTTAGACACAATCTAAACTTCTCAGTCTGGCCTCTGCAGTCTCTTATATCTGACTAGTTGATTTC